AATGAAAAAGAAGGGGAGAGTGGGTTGGAGAGGGATAGATGGAGTGGGGAATTTAAAGTTACCTTCATTTTAAGAGGCAGAGCAGTTTAAGGTCACCAGCAGTGTTGGGACTAACGCGTTATTAAGTAACGCGTTACAGTAACTACGTTATTATTGTGGTAACGAGCACGGTAACTAGTTATTATGCCAAAATCAGGAACGCGTTACTCGTTACTGGGATTTAGATAGGGTCGTTACTCGTTACTTCGTGTGGTGGCTATCGCGGAGCTTCCACAGATTCAGTAACATTAGCAAGTGGTGGAGGCCAGCAGGTGGATGAAGGAAAAGGGACGCAGAAGGAAAAGAGACCCGAGGCGGCCGCCGGTCCAAGTGTGAACTGAACTTCAGGTAAGAAGTTATGACCTGCAGTCTCTCTGGGTCAGATATAAACCAAGTTTAGGTGGAGTTTATTTTCGTTATTCTGACTTTTTCCGTACTGCGTGCTAGCTAGCATGACGGAGTTTCTATACAGCTGGGTGGTGCTATGAAGTTAATGATGTTGAACTTTATTTTGTTCATAAGTTATTAGAGTTGCCAACCGTCCCGTCTGGTATTCAGAGAAAATATTACGCGTTTCTTATTGAGGTGAAAAGGAACAGTTTGTCCCGTAATTCAGCTACAATGAAAAAGGCACAAAGCTGGAGTTATTCTGTGTCTTTGCTGCACAGCTGCCTCTTCTTCTCTCATTCTCTCCCCTCCCTCTCCCGTTTCTACTTCAATCATGAAACTGATCAATGATCAGCTGATCGGCTCTCTTGTTTGTTTATCGCTCCACTTTGCGCCGAAAGAGGAAACCAGCGGATGTCGCGCTAAACAACAGCAGCACGTTTAAGCTTGATCAGCTGTTGTTAGAATTTATTTAATATTAATTTCTAGTATCAGCTGATGTTTGCTGGAGCCACAGCTGTAAAAAAGCTGCTGGTCATGATATCGGTTTGGTTATCTGGTGAGAGGGAAACATGAAGATGAAACCAGGAGATGTCCTTACTGAATCATCAGAGCTGAACAGGTGATGGAGAAACAGGTTTACCTTTTAGGTGACATGAATGAGTTGAAGGGAAGTTATGAACTGTTTCTGAGAGACAAATAACCCCAGGATCCTTTTTTAGGTAGCTGACAGCTGGTAACTGTGCAGGTGCAGATCTAGCAAAGTTTTGCCAGGGGGGCCAGGTAGGGCATTAACAGGGTGAGGTGGGCACAAAGAAATACTTTTCTTTCTTATTCTCATTTAAAATGTCTAGCTTTTAAAAAATAATTATCTGAATCTTACAACAAACGATTGATAGATTAATGCATATATACCATCAGAACAGTGTACATCACTGTCACAACAGCGTTTGTTTTTATTCAAAGGCTTTATGATTTTTCCTATAATGGTGGTCAAAATGTCCGGGACGATTTTTTTGTCCCAGTCCAGCCATGTATGCAGCTCATCTGCAGTCTGGTGTTACCTACATCTTCCTATTCAGAAGGCAGAATTTCCGAGTTCTGAGTACAATCGAAAGCACCACGACTGCAGTTTTTGTGTTGGATGTAAAAGGCGCACATGACACTGTGACGTAGGCTAGAATCATGGCAGCAGTCAATGACGGTCAAGGCGTGGGATTTCTCTTGTGGAAATATGCACATTATCTTTTCCTTTCTATTGGTAGGTGGCACAGTGCACTTGTGGCATGTAAGCAAGCTAGAAGACTGGCAATCTGGCTGGATATCCAGTTACGGAAGCAACACAATAACAAGAGAATTCTGAGTAAAACCAAAGTTACTTTCCCTAGTAACTAGTTACTTTGAAAGTAACGAGTAACTTGAAGTAACTGAGTTACTTTTGAGAGAAGTAACTAGTAATGTAACTAAGTTACTATTTTAAAGTAACTTACCCAACACTGGTCACCAGTGACCTGTTTAGCGTAAGGGTCCTAGTTATATCACAGCTACCCGTTTATATGTATTATTCACCTATTTTTCATACTTAAAGGGAACATCTTCTAGTTTCTAACCATGACTTTACCACACCCTAAAATAGTTTTCTTGTAGCCTGAAGGATGTTAAAAGGACCTGCCTAGCGTACACTTAATAAACTGATGAAGTTTGTTCATAATGTTTAAATTCTGCCTGTCACTAGGTGTCTAAAGGTGACAGGAAACGGAGAGAAAGTGTTGGATGGCTTGCGGTAGCATTTAAAGAAGTTTGAAGAGGCTGTAGAAGCTGCCATCAGTTTTGCCTGCATGCTTGGTGTGATGCTGACGCTGAGCAAAAAAATGAATATTGGAAACACTCAAAAGCCACAAAATCCCAGTTTCTCTTTTTGTCATCTTTCTTCTCACTTATCACTCTGATGTCAACTCAGACAATTTTATCAGTGCCACTGGCTACAGGTTATTCCCTTTATAATAGTGGATGGGAATATGGTGGCACAAGGAGCCTCACTATAGTCAGTCATATAGGCATCAGAGGCCACAGGAAGGAAATTCCACTTAAGGCAACAATGTAATGAATAGTAAAATGTGTTTTCCTCACAGGACATCTGTGTTTGTGTGCATCAGTGTGCACACCACTGAAATGTGTGAACTCCTAACAGTAATTGCAAAGCAAGCTGTTTTTTAGGATTGTGTAGAACAGAGTATGTTCTTGTGTGATAATATGTACTCCAGTGAACATTAAATCTTTACAATGTAGTGTTCTGCTCTGGCATTCATGTGGATGTTGCTTTGACTCTGAATACCCATCGAAGCATTGCCTGCAAGAGGTTTTTTATCATGCCAAAAAACTTGCAACTTGCGCATTCAGGTTTGTTGTTGGGACTGCACAATAAAGCAACATCTGAAAATACCCATATTAATTGACACCGCTGTAGGCCCACATTAACTTGATCCTTACTTGAAAATGCTTTCTCACATGGAGTTCTTGCACAATGCAGTAAAAGATTTAAAAGATCTCTATTTGACCTATTTGATCTCTATTTAAAATAGTTTGTTACTCTCTAAAAAAAAAAAGCCCTCCACAAAGCTAGGACATCTTACTATTTGTCACTGGTCAAGGAAAACAGGAACAACCCTGGAGTCAAAGATCTGTTGAGCCAATTATTTCTTTGATCTGAACTAGTATTCCAAAAATGTTAATTCTGTTCATCTGGACATAACGTTTTCAGTGGAGAAACTTTTCATCGCTCATACAAGTGACTTCTTCAGTCTCAGCTGTCTGCAGGTCAGCTAATTCAATAAAATCCTAATTCTGGTCTTCCATTTTCACAAGCTATCCTGATTGAAAAACAGCCATAAAATGATAAAAACACACATACAAATTCTGGAAAAAAAAACCTTTAGAAACCCACCAGAACATCTGCCTCCAGTAAAAAACAGTCCATATGTTTTATGGGTAAAAACCATTCCTCCATGTGATGTGACATTTTTCATAAATTTATTCCTCCAAGTTTCCCAATGCTATCCATATTTGAGTGTGTGTGTGTGTGTGTGTGTGTGTGTGTGTGTGTGTGTGTGTGTGTGTGTGTGTGTGTGTGTGTGTGTGTGTGTGGCAGTTAGAGGGGAAACAACAAGAGAGCAACTTTTACATAAAGTTTACTGTGCAGCAGGGATGGATAGACAGTGATGCCGAGAGATAGCACCTGACCATGTGTCTGCATGAAGAATGTGCCCAGTGTGAGGTTCCTCCCTCAGGGAGCAGGCTGACAGCAACTGCTAATTAGACTTGCTGGTTTCAAGCAAGAAAGATGGAGACAGACAGAGCGGAAGGAGGAAAAGAAAACTGAGAGATATTATGCAAAAGTTAGGGAGAGACAGATCACATGGACAGTTTCAGTAAGAGGCCGTGTGTGTGTTAGAGAGATGGAGGGAAAAGTGTGGCTGTTCAGAATGAAACCATCAAACTGCCAGAAAGGTAAATGAGAGAATGTTTTCTTATTGTATACCAAAAACCAAGATGTGTGCAAAATATGTGGGAAATTTGGTATTCTTAGTCCTTTTAATGAAAAAAAAACCATTTATGTGTGCTGTGTAAGTTATTCAGTAAAATTTGTATTGTGTCTTATTGTAATTTCAACCTTTCAGTTAAGGCTTACATGGCCTAGTTAAATTTATTAGTGTGCACACACACTATATCCTTGTGGGGACATCTCATTGATATAATGCTTTACCTAACTCTAACCTAACCATAACCTAACTGATACTTTGACACTCAAACAACATTTTGAGTCTCAAAAATGCCTTCAAACTTGTGGGGACTGGGATCTTAGTCACCCATAACGGCTGTTGGTCCCCACAAGTATCGTAAACCTCCAATTTTTGGTCCCCAGAAAGAAATTAATACACACACTACACACACAGAAAGGAAGAAAAAGAAAGCACCAGATGTCATACAGTGGCTCTTTAACACACTTTATCCTGAAAAGAGTTGAATACCCACTTTGCAACCCACTTCCACTCATCCCCTCCTTTTATGCAGTTCCTGACTTAATCAATTAAATGTAATTTTGAGAGAGTTGCTTTATGTTCTTACAATCTGTTCTGAGGTTTTCCCGTTCCCCCAAAATTTCTAAGATTTTCAAGGCCCCTGGGAACCCAGCAGAAAACTAAAACATCAAGTTGAACTCACCGTAAAAACTTTTACGAGTAGCCAGAACTTTAACAATGCCTTTGATGAATGTGTATTTTGGAAAGAAATCATGCAATTCAAGGCCACATTTTCATGTTAATATTGACTGCAGTGATGCGTTTCATGTAAGGAGGAGGAGAATGGGGGAGGGATGGGTTAAGGAAATGTGGGAGAGTGAGAGAAGAAAGAAAAATGGAAGAGAAAATTAGATGGAACCTTTTGTACCCATTCCCTCGCTGGTTTCTTTGATACGTTCAGCATTGCATAATGATATGCAAATATGACAAAATATGAAAGTGGTACTGAGCGGGGAAATCTGGTCTAATGCACTGTTTTCAGAGTTTTGAAAATGCCTTTCAATCTGAAGAGTCCTTTTCATTTGCCTCTTACGAAATCCTCATTCAGCCATTTCTCCCCTTTTCTGTCTACCAGCTTCCATCTCAAACTCTTTCACCCAGTTTGCAATTTTTTTCGGAAGTCTTGCTCTTTCTGCAACTTTTTCCCCCTGCTTCTGACACCCATCCCCAAGCATGTACGTATAGAAGTCAATAGTCCTAAGAAGCTATACAGTAGGGCTGCCACGATTAGTCGACTAGTCACGATTACGTCGACTATCAAAATCCTCGACGCCTAATTTAATAGTCGACACATCGTTTAAATGCCGTAAAATCCTGAAAGGTGCAGGAATAACAGTAGGATTTAAGAGTGTAATAACGGACTGAAACAGAAGATGGCGGAAATGCACCTACAAGGATACCGTTAAACGCCAAAGATGAAGAAGAAGAAGAAGAAGAAGAAGAAGCAGTCTCCGTTATCATGGCTACTCGGCAAAGGAACTCGAAAGTCTGGGAGCATTTTGACCAAACAAAAGAAAAGAAGGTCCAATGCAAAATCTGCAAAATGGAACTTGCCTTCCATGGCAGTACAACGGCAATGCACGAGCATCTAAAAAGGAAGCACGTCGTGGCATCCGACGACGAAGTGGTACAGTCGTCTCGGTAAGCTAATTGGCTAGTTAGCTGCTAACATTATTATAAACAGCAAGCTGCTAATTATTTGTGCTGTCAGCATTAATCTCGTTAGTATGATGTTAATGCCATAACCGCATTAACGCGGCAAATCCCCGTTAGTCAGTGCCATGCAGCCCTCGCACCGCGTTTTCGCGCTAACGGGGATTTGCCGCGTTAACATCGTATTGACGAGATTAACGCTGAGAGCACTACTTGTTATTGCTTATATTAATAGCTGTTAACATTACAGGACTGCTAAAAAAATACGTTCGTCTTCAATGGACGACTTTGTCACCAAGCCAACAACATGTACACCTCGGCAAGCAGATGTCCTGACTGAATCAATCTTGAACATGTTGGTGACGGACATGAGACCCCTGTCTATGGTTGATGATCAAGGTTTCAAAGAGATGATCAAGCAGTTCAACCCAGATTACCATGATAACTACCTACCAGGCCGATCCCACTTCACCAAATTGATGGAAAAGAAATATGATGCTACCTTTGAGAAGGTTGGTCTCTCTTTCTCTCCACTCTCTCACACCACAAACACAAAATAGCAATTTGTATTAGAATTTAATACATTTCATGATGAAATAATATTAAGAGCTTGCTGACTAAGCAACCAATAAATTAATCTTGGTTAAAGCATGTAATGGAAAGTTGTTGTTTTTTGTTTTTTACTGATATGTTGAATGTTTATTGTTTAACATACGTAAGTGTATTTGATGTAACTGAATTATTCAATTGGTAAATTCAAATCGTAATGCATAAACTGACAAGCATTATTAATAATGAAAAAATATACTGTAATATATTTCCCTAATGCTTACTATTGTTCCAAATCATCTCATATCTTTAGGTAAAGCAGACCCTTGGTGGTGTCAAAGGTTTCTTCACCCTGACTGCTGATGTCTGGACCAGTCGTGCAACAGAGGCCTACCTTGGTGTGTCTTGCCATTTCCTGAGTGAAGATTGGAAGATGAAGAGCTTCATCCTTGACACCATGCCTCTTGAGGAGAGGCATACTGGTGCCAATATAATGACATGGATGGAAGAGGTGCTAACAAAGTTTGACATCTTGCCTGCCAAAATAAAAGCAGTAGTACATGACAGTGGTTCCAATATGGTGGCAGCAATGCGACTGCTTGAAGAAAAACATGGATGGGCCTCTATCCGCTGTGCTGGACACACACTCCAGCTCATAGTCAATACGGCTCTCAAAGAAACCACCATCAGCAGAGCACTAGGTGCTGCTAGGCAGCTAGTGGAGCACTTTAAGAGAAGCGAGCTGGCTAGTACAAGACTAAAAATGAAACAGGAGCAAATGAATGTGAAGAAAAATACACTGATCCAAGATGTCAGTACAAGATGGAATAGTACATTCCACATGATAGAAAGACTCCTCGAACAGCGCTGGCCTCTCACTGCCACTCTTTCAGATCCCGAGGTAATGCCAAGGGGGAAACACTACTTCGACTTGAAGCCAGAGCAGTGGGTGCTGCTTGAAGAACTGAAGCAAGGTTTGGCACCGTTTGAGACTGCTACTGTTTACCTTAGTGGACAGAAGTACACAACGGTTTCAGGTCTTCCACAGGTGGTCAAAGGGCTGACACGGGCTGTACACCAAAGCCAACTGGAGACGAGCTCAGGAAAATCTTTCATTGCCAGTGCAGAAAAAGGCATAACACAGAGATGGGGGAGTATATGTACTTTCTCAGCAGACAAAGAAAACCCTGTTATTCTCGCAGCTGCCTTGGACCCCAGATACAGAAAGTTGAAGTTTTTGGCTCCTGAAGATGTCATCAGAGTGCAGGGGACTGTTGAAGTGCTTGCTGTCAAAGAAGCAAATGCTGGGACACATGAGCATGCAAAAGTGCAGACAGCCAATGGTTCAGGTAGAACTGAAAAGACTGCTCTGGACAACCTCCTT